ACGCGGAGCATCAGGAGTTGGCAGACACTAAACCATCCTACCCTGTTCCCACCAAGGGATACGCTGGACAAACTTTTTCTCTTTTAAGATCATAACTAGTACGTTCCAGACAATGCATCAGGTCCTGGGAACAGAGACACAGTCCCTACCCCCAGGAACTCACAGTGCCTCGAAGCAGACGAAGACTTGGAGGTGTGGCCAAAGAGACTGTGCCTAAGGGCAGTGAAAGACTCCTCCAATTTCTTCCAGCACTGACAGAACCTGACACAGACCTGCACCCGAGAAGTATCTGGCGCACAGCGGACAGATCTAAGTATCACTCTTCCCCTGAGTATCTCAGGAAGCTGACCCGGAGGCCTCCCCTTCTCTCTGAGCCTGGAGCCAGACTGCCTGGGTTGGAATCTCATCTCTGCTGCTTCTTGCTTGTGTGATAAGCGGCACTCGGCTCAAGCGCCTTGTGCCACGGCTTCCTCACTTGCAAATGGAGATGAATGACGCCCAGCTCATGAGGACTTTAGGAAGGTTAAGAAAGCACTCGGAACAGAGCTGGGCACCCGGGAAGCGCTCAGAGGCCGCCGGCTATTATTTCTGGGAGCAGGGCTGTGTTCCCGCCTCTGCCCGCAGTCAGTTCACTTGTAATAAAAAGACGGAATTTCAATGCATCTGGTATGGTTGGTTTAAGGAGGATAGGAAGTCTCTGGGACTAAATAGGAGAACAGTTCCCCTGGGAAGGAGAAGGAATAACCCTGGAACTTGTTAATTAAGATCTTGTTAATGAATCTGCTTGTTAATGGTCTATTAAATAATCACACAATGAAGTTTACCGCACAAGTAAAGCCTTTTCCAAACGCTTGCTCTCTGCAATCCTGGCCCAGCTCTGACTTCTCAAGCTCTGTTCTAAGGCGAAAGCCCCTCCAATCCTTGCACTTCTGACATGGCCTCTTCATCGCACCACCGTGGCCCAGCACAGAGCACGGCTATGCTTGCAGCCTAGGAAAGCTCTCAAGGGCAGAGAGCCCGCTTCATCCTAACCCTGCCTGTCATCCCGCAGGCTGGGGGGCTCGGGCCTCGGAGCCCCAGTGTTTCCCTCCACAGAACAGGAAGAGAGCCACTGGTCCTGCACAGAGAAAAATAAAGATGCTCTGATTTTTGCCGAGGGGAAAAGCAAAGGGTAACTTCTCCTCAGCGGCAATCTGGCAAGGTAAAATGTCAGCTGAGATGTCACAGATCTGTACAGAAGGTGGCCTGCGAGCGACACGCACAAAAGTCAGGGAACTTTTGTCCCAAGCCACCTAGGGAAGCAAAGCTGCAATCAGCGTCAGGGACGGACTCCGCGGGAGCCCAATTTCAAGGACGCGCACTGCACGGAAGAGGGCTCCCTCTAGGTTGCGCGCTCAGGTATTTCACAGACTGTTCTGGTCCCCTAACACCGTTTTGTTCTTCAGACAAACGTTCCTCTGTGTGTGTGTGTGTGTGTGTGTGTATACAGTGCATGTGTGTAGCATTCACACAGTCACCTTTGGAGTACAAAACACACCTGTGTTATCTTTTCCTCACAGGAACCCTGTAAGGTAGGGTGGGATTACTCACCACCTCCTAGTTTACGTGGAAACAGCTGGGGCTCAGGGACCCACAGTGACCTACCCAGAGTCACATGGCTACTACCTGACAAGCCCAGTTTCTGGCCCCGCCCCCGAACTGTTCCTCTCCTGCTGGGCACCACCTCCCACTTGTCAACATGCCAGGAGGTGTCCAGCCCCATGGGGGTGGGGGCAGGTGCTTCATTCCGTGGTAGAGTGGGTGGGGCCAGCTGGCAGCTCGGCACAGCTCAGCAGAGAAAACGGCCATCCACTGCTCATTCATTCTCAGAACTGCTCTCTCTCGAGCCAGGCACTACAGGAGGAGCCACACTGGACAGAGTCCCATAGGAGACAGACATGGGCCCATGGAAGAGGGACAATTTAAGCAAATAATTACAATGTAACATGATGGGTGTTTAAAAGAGGGAGCAAGACTTAGAGCGGTGGAGGGGGGAGGTAACAGCACCCCCGAGTCTAGATGCAGGTTGATGAACACGTCCCCTCGTGAGCAGGTGTCTGAAGCCATCTGCACCTCACACAGAGCCCCTTTTCGCAGCTCATTTACCCTGGCACCCACTGGCACAGCCCCCAGAGGGTGAAAGCATAATGCAGACAGCCACCGTGCTTGTGCCGGTGACCGCGGAGAGCGACTTCTAACCCTCCAACTCTCATTTCTTTACAAATGAGCATTTGAAAACTTAAGGGCCAGAGAAGAGAAAAGAGGAAGCTGGCGACAAAAGCCCCACAGCCCCTTCGGGCGGTGTAACAGCATCGAGGAGACGAGCTGGCGGGAGCCCAAGCCGCCTCGCATCTGGCTAAGCACCTCGAGCCCTGCACTGGGCCACCTCATAATCACTGTACAGCCCGGACGAGGGGAGGCCGGAGCACGCACAGTCAGCTGTTGCCACTGCGGCAGGAAAGAGAGCCCCCCACCCCCACCCGGCAAGGCAGGTGGACAGATCCTCCCCCAGGACAGGAGGCTGCAGGGGAGCAGACCCCCGCCTCCCACTCCTCAGTGGAACTGCATCCCCTTCCTCTCTGCTCTCCTAGTCCTAAACGCCCCTTCCTTCAAGGTCAAACTCCACCCAGAAACTTCCCTCTGATGCTGTCACTCTAGAACAGTGATCCACAGACCACCGGGGCCCTCGGGAGGCTGCTTGCTAAAGCCGTGGAGTCCCAGGCGGCACTCCCTGTGGTTCTGCTCAGGAGGTCTAGTGTGGGCCCTGGGAATCCGCAGTCTATAAACAACATCCTCCATGCCCCCAGCCCCCTCCCCGCACCCCACCGCACGGGACCTGAAGCTGCCAGTCCGGAGATCTCATTCTGAGGACGACTCCCACTCTTGAAATGCACAATGTCACTGTACCTCATCCTTTCTTCTTCCCATTCACATCCTAACTACTCACCTTGACCATGAGGCTCTCAAGAAGAGGAAGCGTGACCTCCTCTTTGGACTCTCCTCCCCAGCACTCTACACCCAGGAGCTCAGGAAGTGTTCGCGGATGTGGAGAGATGAGGAAGACAAGAGGCCAGGGGAGGAAACCACACTGGGGAGAGCAGAACACAGAGGCCTGGAAGGAACTGTGTTGAGTCCGCCCGCGTGTGCCAGGCTGGAACAAACCGGCTGTGCCTTCTTTTTTTTCCTCCTTCAATACTCTTGGCTCTCCATGCCTAACCTCCCTCCTGAAAGCCAAGGCTGAGTGACGCACCTCCCACAGGAAACTCTGCCAAGAAACTGTGCCAAGAATCCCGGGTGCTGTGCGGCTTCGTTTAATGGCCAAGCGAGGTCTCTCGGTCCTGAGACCTCGCATGTCTCCGTAAGGGACATGCCTCGGAGCTGAGTGTGAACCTCAGTGCAGACAAGGACCCGCAATCCACCTCAGTGAACATCAGCAGGCAATGCCCTCTTTGTTCACCAATTGCTTCCTGAGTGTCTCCCGTGTGCAGGGCTTGGTTCTGGGTGCTCATGGGTCTTGAGGTGCTTAAGAGATCCTGTTCATCAGAAAGCATTTGAGAGTGACTCATCTTTACAAGGTCTCGGAACCACATGAGCACCAGATGGATCTCAAGAGTGTCTGGCTACAACAGAGATCTGTAGACGTCTGAGGTCAGCTCCAGGCCCTGGCAGGCAGGAACTCTCACCGTCTAATGCTCTCTGTAGCTCTGGAGTTCCTTCTTCCACTCTTAGATGCTACACTTTGTCCAACAAAGCAAACTATCATGTGTAGCTCCCTTGAACGAATAACTCCTCAAAGGTCACTTGCTCCAGAAAGATATCCTTGACTCTTAGTCAAGACTAGATGCACGGGGGCTGGCACTGTGGCACAGGGGCTAAACCTCCACCTGCGGTGCTGGCATCCCATATGGGCACCAATTCTAGTCCCAGCTGCTCCACTTCCGATCCAGCTCTCTGCTATGGCCTGGGAAAGCAGCAGAGGATGGCCCAAGTGATTGGGTCCCTGCACCACAGGGGAAATTTGGAAGAAGCTCCTGGCTTGGGGCTTCAGATCAGGCAGCTCTGGATGTTACAGCCATTTGGGGAGTGAACCAGTGGATGGAAGACCTCTCTCTCTCTCTCTCCCACTCTCTCTGTAACTCTACCTCTTAAATAAATAAATAAATAATAATTTTTTAAAAAAAGACTAGATGCTCCCATGGCATTTTCCACTTCCCCTTTTACAGCACTTTCCACAACACCCTGCAACTGCTAACTCAACTTTAAGCTCCAGAGCACCAGGAAGTATAACCCACCTTGCTCAGCATCCTATCCTCCACGTGGTGTCTGGAACAACGCAGGTACTGAGTGCTGAAATTAACCAAAGCATGTAGCACCCCGCCAGTCATGATGACAGCCACTGCATCGTGCCCCAGGCACTCTGCCATGGTTTCATCCACTGCCACCAATCAACACCTGGTGTGACCAGCACCTCAGAGACAGAACCAGGGCTCACAGGATCACCCCAGTACAGGCTCCAGGGGGCTCTTCCCATGATCAAAGGAAGAGGTAACATTCCCAAGTCAACACCGTGTCACCAAGAGCCTGAGATCAGCTATACTGGCCATGAGCCAGGATGCCAGTTCCGTCGCAGACTTGACGGTAAGGTATCTTACACAGCACTGATCTTCTCATAGACTTGGCTGTTACACGAAGAGGTGCAGCAGCAGGTGCTCTCTTTCCATAAAGAGAACAGACAATGAGAAGCTGCCCACATCATGCAGAACAGTCAGAAGAAGGAGGCAACATTTGCAATGAAGCAGCTCTGCTGTTAGGAAAGGGTTAAGCCCACATGTCTGGGTTCTTCTACCCGTAAATCAGCCTTGACTGCTGCTCAGTCTGAATGAAGCCCCACCAGGTTGGCCTGCCAGGAAGGAAGCCCATGCGTCCAGACTTTTGTTGTTCTAAGGTTGTTGTTTTTTTGATTTTTTTTTTTTTTTTTTAATGTTACTGCTCAGGAAGGAAGCTGAAGCCTAGGCCCTAACTGCAGTCCTCCTGGTTCCTCCTCCGAGCCCGGGCTGCTGTCCACACTCCAGCTGCCTCCCACACTCTGTTCTGCTCTTTTCTAGAATTCCTTCTTCACGATGACTCCGGCGTTTGGGCCTAAATCCCAGGCCTCCCTCCCATCCTTACGCACCAGAAATTGCGAATGTCCAGCGTTTCCCTTCCTGCCTCCCACACACCCTTCTGCCCCCGTCTGAGAAGGACTGAGGACAGGGAGAGCAGAACTGGGCCCTCCACGACTGGCAGAGACAACAGCGAGCGCAGAGAGCACAACGCTGCCCCTAAAGGGAGCCACGCAGGAGCTGACGGGGACTGCGGTGTCAGGCATCTGACTGCCCGTGGCTGTTTCTGTCACATACACGCGTGCACACGAGACCTCTCGAATGCGAGCCGCTCTAGCTAAATAACAGGCTCAAACCCAAGGTCCACAGGCAGAGGGTCAGACTTCCCCACGTCTACCCTGCTACTCCTCACCTCTCCCACTGACATGCACAGCCCTTCTGTGGTATTCCCAAGCCCCAGGGGGCTCCCTTTCTCGGGAGAGAGAAACCCTGACTTTATTTGCGCGCTCAGGGTAATGGACAGCCCTCTTCCATGCCTAGGAGAATGCACACAGACACTCTGTGCGAGGCCTCTCCCCGCCCAAGCCCGCCCTCCCCTTCCCCTGCTAATCCCTGCCTGGCCGCTCCCCCCATCTCAGCCCTGCTGCTGTATTTCTCTCCTGACCTACAAGGCCCCGCCGAGCCCCATCCTAAGCCTCCCCCAAGCAGAGACAATCCATCATGCTGTGAGCCTGTGACACACACAGATGGGGGAAGGCTTGCAGATTTGTCTCACATAGGCAAGAGGGTAAAAGTGTCGGTATAACTTAAAATCTAAGGACACACTGTAAACTCTAGGACTTCCACTTCTAATGCTGGTCAAATACCATTACAGCAAATCTGATTATACATAGGCCCAATCTCCGTGACACGCAAATTCCAACAGCCCATTTATTTCAAACAATATCTGATAAAACACAAAATTCCAGAATAAGAAAATATCTTGAGATTGGTATTCTGTGACCACTGCCTAGCTATCGAACCCCAGTCAAGTGCCCTCCTGACTTAGAGACTCAGTTTCTCTAAGTCCAATATGACCTTGCTTCTAAATAAAATGCAGGCAGCAAGAGGTCAGAGGGACCCCAGGGCTAATCCTGGTGGCCGGCTAATAATGAAGGCAGGAGCAGCTGGGCCGGCACAGGAAGGGGCTTTGGAGCTTTCTCCCTCCCTCCCTGCCTCCCTCCCCTCACCGCCATAAGGCCTGAGTGTGCGTGACAGGAGCCTCCGCACACGCTCCCTGCTCATCACCCTGTGTTTGGCTACACCAGTGCTTCTAACTAGGAAGATTATACCGCCAGATTGTCCTTGAGGTAATAATAGACACCATGTATTGAGCACTAGTGAGGAGCTGTTTCACCCATTATCTGTGTATCGAATCTCATTCAATCCTTTACAACACGCTTTTTAGGTTGTGTAAGTCCCATTTTACAGGTGAGAACACTGAGGCCTGGAGACAGTTAATTAATTTGCCCATGACAAAGCAAGGAAGCTAAAGGGTCAGGCTTTGGCTCCAAAGGCTGGACTACTGTTATCTTGCTTCCCCCCATCTTTGAAGCACCTTCAGGTTGGAGCTCAAAGGCTCACATACAGCTTTTATGCTTCCAAAACGTATTTATTATGCCAGGCCACTCTGGTTTGGTTTAAATCAAACCCCTAAAAGCAAGGTCAAAAGAAATCAGTACAGGATTAACTGGGAATCATACACCTGAGAAGAAAGCCAAGGTCTCCCCAGGGCGGGCCCCTGCCCCTCCCTCCAGCTGTCTGCTAGGCTAAGATGGCCGCAAAGCCGGACGTCTGCTTGTGAATGAATCTCAGCTGCAAAAGACAACTCTCACCTGGTGAGTCACACGCAGGCTTGCCGCGCTTGGTTTCTCAGAGACCGACCGCGAGGCTCCTTCTTCACCTGTGTGGCTCGAGACTCGCTAACCCTCCAGTGGTTTCAACAGAACGCACTGGACGCAGCACCATGTCTCCCCAACAAGACAACTTTCACTCCCTCTGGGTCGCCTTCCATCAGCACATACTCCACAGAGAAAGCTCACAGCGGACTATCTGAATTGCCAGGGGGTCGGCGTGTCTGCAAGAGCCCCAGCACCTGGCTGTCTCCTGCTTCAACCAGGAAGTAGGGAGAACTTTCTAACATACAGGCCCAAAGCAGACCCGTACGTGGGACTCCACCACATGGGAAGGCAATGAGGTAGGGAAACCTTAGGGAAGGGGACAGACGCTGATCTCAGGTTTCTAGAGAGTTCGAAAGAAAGAAGCAAAAATTTAAATTACTTCTTATGCTATGAAAGATGTTCAGGACCCTCAAATAAGCAACAGAGTCTGCATTTGAGAAAGATGATTTCCCATCTCTTGAAAAATTCCGTCTTTGTCCTGATCAACCTTCAAGGCATAAATAAACTCATCCTTTCTCTCCTCCAACCCCTACGCCTTTGGGACAGCACAGCCTAATACACACTGTCCAGTGAAATGCGGAAGGCTGTTAAGTTGATGAAAACTTAGGAGTAAAAGCTAGATCATCATCGACCACCAACAATGTAGTCAATACTGAACCTCAGGCCCCAATGCAAAATTTTAAAAAAGATGTAAACACTAAAGGTAGAATTTGATCAAGGCAACAGGAAAGTCCAATGCACAGTGAGGCATTTCCGCTGAGTACTGTCACTCCCCAGGCTGTCACCTCTCCAGGCCTAAACCCACCATCCCCTCAGGGGTCTCTTCCTGGGAAAGGCAAAAAAAGTTCTTTTGCAGAAGTCTCCTCCTCATCCTAAAGAAAGAGAAATTTACAAATTCCAACTCTGTGACACACATTTTGGGGATAAAAACACCTTCTGTTCAACCACAAATGCCACAATGTAAATACTTTTAAAAATTTGAGATATTTTAGCTGCTATACAGCAAGAAATTATCCTTAAGTCTGTTTTTAAGATGGTGTTGGGACATGCCATTAAACTGTTGGAAGAGAACAGTCAAATCCAAAAAGTACTGTTATTTTGGTGTTAGAATCACACGATTTTACAATGAAAGGTACGATCTGATTGTCCAACGCTCAGGTACTTGTAAAGAGTATGGTCCAGCGCATGCTCTGATATTAACCAGAAGGGTGTGGCTTTGAGTCAAATATAAGAAAAGCATTATAAAAACATAGCTCCATAAAATATGCTGCTACCCCAAATCCCTAATATTTACAAATAATACATCCATGTGCGCTAATATTTGTTAGATGGCTTCAGCTAATAAGGGTTAAAAATAAGAAAAAGCAACATAAAAATATAATTCTATTTTTCAGTTTCCTCTTCCCTTTCTAATGAGCAAGAGGGTGGGAAGGGAGAGCAACTTCTGTTATTTGGATACAATGCATGTGTTTTGTTGTCAAACAAAAAAGGGCCACCGAATCATCAACCTGGGGCCACCGACCGGAAGGCAGCTTCGGAAAACTTCCCGTGGGAAGCGCTCCAGAAACCGCCGAGAACGTAGCGAGCGCCGCGGTGCCCCGGCTGCGAGCCTCGCCCGGGCGCCGCCGCCGCCGCCAGCCCGCGGAGCCCGGGCTCGGACACGCGCCCCTGGAGCTTCACAGGTGGGAGGAGGAGCCGGGGAACGCTGCGGACCGAAGGGAAAGCCCAGACAGTGGCCCGGCGCCCGGGGCAAAGCCCGGTCCCGGCGCGCGTCCGCACGTTCACGCCCGGGCCGCACGCCCTGGCCCCTCCTCCGCCCTCGCACCGCTCGGCGTGGCCCCCTCCCCCTAGCCCCAGGCCTCCACGGCCGTGGGCGCTGCCCCCCACCCGGCTGTCACGCTCGCTCCTCTGCCCCTTACCCCGCCCCCAATTCTCCGTCCCAAGAGGACAGACAGGGAATCAAGCCGGGACTGGGTCCTTAGGGCGACCCGGGGGCCAGGAGACGCGGGGGTGTAGGGACGCGCGGCACTCTCCCGCGGCCCCCACGTCCCGCAGAGCGACGGCGAGGTCCCCAACATCTCTGAGAGCCCTCGCGAGCCTCCCGAGGGCGGAGGCTGGGGGGGTCCTCGCGCCTCTCGCGCCCCCGCCCCCAAACGATCAATTACCAGCCACCCTTCTGCCGGGCGCGGCGAGGGCTGGCGGGCGGCCGCGAGGAAGCGGCAGCCCGGATCACTTCTGCATGACAATTGCCGGGAGGGCGGGCGGCGTCCGCTTCTCACCATGGTGATTAGGCATTCCCGCCGCGCGCGGGCCGCCACCGCGCAGCGCAGCGCGCAGCGGCGCGGGCGCCACGGCGAGAGCGAGCCCAGCCGTCGGCGAGCGGCGCGCCGAGCCGAGCCAAGCCAGGCCAGATGGCTCTGCAGCCATCAGGGACTGCTCCCGTCCAGCCCGGCCCCACTTTAGCTGTGCAAACATTTCTTTATCCCGACAAGACAATTAAACCCAGCAGCACGAAAAGGAGTCTCCATGACTGTGTAGGGAGTGAACAACCAGAAATCACCGCACACATCACAAGAGTTCTCGCGCCCCGGGGGAGCCCGGGCGCAGCTAGGTGTGCGCAGTCAGGGCAGCGGGAACCCTCTGGTGATGTCTGACCCTTCACAGCGGTCATCTGCTCCAGCTGCAATCCAGAGGTGCCTCCATTCTCCCCAGAGGCAGTGATCCTCCTAAAAGCCCGAACTAGCGTCCCGGGCTCCCCCTTCAGGCCCAGAGCCCTTGGAATAGCATCGCCCCAACCCACCCCCAACCCACTGGCAGGCCTTCAGCCAGTCTGCTCATTCCAGGCAGCCCGGGGCCTGGGTGGGTTCCGCTCATTCTTGGAACGTACATTCTTAGAACATGCGCTCCTGGATACATGCTTTTATAAAGACACAGCTCAGAGTGCTATTTTGCACTTTGGGGCCTGAGAAGGACTTGCTACACAGATCACAGAGGAGAGCCAAGCAGAAACCCAGAGGCTGATGGGAGCCACCAAGTTTCCTGGCTGCCTGTGAATCTGCCCAGCCACAGGGCAGGGCCATGCAAAGCCTTTGAGGACC